AAGTTAAAGTTAATCAAGACAAGATTGCGAAATTTTATGTCGAATGACCACTTAGAGTCGTATATGTTGATGTCTGTAGAAAAAAGTCTACCTGATAGCCTTGAGTATGATACGATTATTCAAAGATTTGCATCTTTGTCTTCTGAATTGAGCAAACTGTTTAAAGAATATTTATTGCTATACTTTGCACTGTGCAAATTGCACATCACTAGTACTTTTTAAATTCAATATAATTTTATTAATTTGTGATTTAATTGTTTCTCTTAAGACTTATTTTGAGAAAGTTGCGGACCGGGCAGTCTTTGCCATATATGTATGGTCGGGAGGGTCCTTTAATTATTTTCATGGCCGGTAATATATAAACACAGCCACAGCCAGTGTATAGTTAAACTATTTTCATTTTTGTTTATTATGAAAACGTACGCATTTATATGAAAATGGAGTGTTTAATCATTTTCAAACTTTGAAATAAAAATATTTTTCGTTTTTGTCGTAGAACCTTTGTTACTTTTTGAATATAAACGTATAAATTTTTTTGTTTTTTTCAGTCTCTTTATTGTGGTTACAACCACCTCTCAATTTATTAACTTTTAAACTGAGCGGAGAAACAAGTTGATCAAAGTAATACCAGAGACATGATGGGAATCGAACGTGTGTTGCCCCAACCCAATATACATCATACATTAATTTAAAACTACGCAATAACCAATAATAATTTACAATGTTTCACTTGCAACTACAAAATACGCAATAATAGTATACAATATTTAACTGGCCTACGTGCTAAATCCATTACTGGATAAGCAATATTAAGCAATTTGTATTAAGCAATATTAAAACCCTGTCATATTGACACTGCAAAAGTAACAATGTGCATGATGATCTCTCGGCTCCCTCCATATCATGGGTATGGCAAACGGTATTGAAAATATCTTTTGTTCATCCAACCGCATAATTCTTTTAATCAAGCAGAGGAGATTTGATACAGCGTCCATGGTTTATTTTGATCACCTCAGTGGCAACCAAGATAAACCTGTGTGTTTGCATACATGTTTTTAACATAAAAATTAATATTATCATGTATTATAAATATATTATTATAATATTATGGTTTTATCATAAATAATACTAGAATTATTATTATAAGACAAAAATGAGATATGTGTTTTAGCTTATGTTTCTTACATTATACTATTATAAAACTACACATAAAGTTTAAACTAAAAACTAACAAGAAAGTCCAGTTAAACTGGTATACAGGTAGATACTCCTTAAAAACTACAAAAAAAATGGTACCCTTTAACTGAATATAGGAAACTTCTAAAGTGCTGAAGTTTTCTCTACTTAAAAACAACTTAATATGATTGTCTTACCTGGCCATTTTCAATCTAAGAGTTTTTGCAAAGTTTTTTGTTTCAAAGAAAAGTTGCTTTTTTCGGTTGTTACCCCTTAAATACCGCAAGGAGTGTTTTGGCTAATAATTTTAGAGTCGTTCATCAGACTCATTCAAAATTTCGCAAACATTTTGTTTTTGGGCATAGTATTTGTACACACATTATTGTAAACTTATTATAAATGAAAAGACATGAACAACCCCAAAAAACCCGACAAAGTAAACCCTTACAATCTACAACCTCTATGGTGAATTCTAATATGATTAGGGATGACAAAAATCCCGGAAATTTTTAATTTCGGGATAATAATAATAATAATAATAATTGAAGCTGTGTTTTTGAAAGTTTCAAGAAAGAATCTAACAACTGTAGATGTTAGATTTTAACAACTGTTTTTCGCTAAACTTTTTAAGTTTATTTTTAAAATCAATTACTGAATTAGCGTTAACAACTTCACTGTCCAAACGATTTCAATTTTCAACTATACGGTTCGTGAAGAAATGATGCCTCGGCAAAAAGTTTTGAACATACTGCCTTCGCAACCTTTGATTGTGTCCTCTAGTTAGCCTACCCAATACTTCTGGTTCACGATGCCAATTGATAGTATCAATTTTGTTCATGAATTTGTACATTTGGATAAGATCACCTTTTTCCCTTCTATTTGATAGATTTTGTAAGTCCATTTTCTCTAATCTTTGCTCGTAACTGTCTTTCTTTTTTTTGTTGCCAAATTTTGTAGCTTTTTGCTGAATTTTTTCTATAATAAAATATGGGTTCCACACTTGAAAAGCATATTCTAAGTGTGGCCGAACGAGTGACATATATAACAATTTTGTTGATGTTTCATCTGGATAGAGGATTGCGTGCTTTAACATACCCAATTTTTGATTCGCCTTACCATTTTTTCATTTTTCGGGATTTCGGGATTGAAAAACTTTCCCCGGGAAATCCCTGGATTGAATAGAAAAAAACGCAAACGCAATTAAATACTTTTTAAGCACTCACCAAATACTTAAAAATGATTAATTTAATGATAATATAACTAAAATATTTAATACATTAATGAACCTCTAAAATTAAGTTGAATCATGTTTTAACTTAATTTT